CATAAGCCACCGCGCCCAGCTGCCTACTGCATTTTCCATTAAAGTGTCCTAGGTTTTGCTATTCTTAAATGCTTTAATAAATATCTTTAAATATTATTTTTTTTCTTTAAATCGTTTAACCCCAAGGTAAAGATGAAAGTTCTTGGCAAATATTGCCAAACTGCTTTTGAAATATCTCTATTTGGCCAGGTGCGGTGGCCCAGGTGGGAGGCCAAGGTGGGTGAACTGCTTGAGCCCAGGAGTTTGGGACCAGCCTGGGCAATAAAGTGAAACCCCATTCTTACAAAAAAACACCAGGTATGGTGGTGTGCGCCTGTGATCCTGGCCCCTTGAGAGGCTGAGGTAGAGCACAGCTTGAGCCTGGAAGGTCAGGGTGGCAGGAAGCCACACTCATGCCACTGCACTCGAGCCTGGGAAACACAGTGAGACCCTGTCTCAAAAACGAAGTCTGTATTTTACCGTAATAAATTACTTTTAAAATTTTTGCTAATTTTATAACTGCCTAATAGGTTTTTTCTGCTCAACTGCACAAACAAAACAGACCAAGGCATTGCAGTAAAAAAAGAGTTTAACTCACACACCAGCCACATCATGTAGGAGACAAAGTTACTACTCAAACCAATCTCCCTGAAGGCTGAGAGGTTAGGGGTTTTTCCAAGGATGGTTTGGTGGAGGCCAGGCGCGGTGGTTCACACCTGTAATCCCAGTACTTTGGGAGGTGAGGTGAGCAGATTACTTGAGGCCAGGAGTTCGAGACCAGCCTGGCCAACACTGTGAAACTCTGTCTCTACTAAAAACACAAAAAATTAGCTGGGCGTGGTAGTGCATGCCTGTAATCCCAGCTACTTGGGAGGCTGAGGCAGGAGAATCATTTGAACCCGGGAAGTGGAGGTTGCAGTGAGCCGAGATCATGCCACTGCACTCTAGCCATGATGCCAGAGTGAGACTGTGACTCAAAAAAAGGTTGGTTTGGTGAGCTAGGGACGAGGGTGGCTAGGCAGTGGGTACTTGCTGCTGACTGCTGAGAGATGAAATCCTAGGGAGTTGAAGCTATCCCCTTGTGCTGAGTCACTTCGGGGTGGGGCCACAGGAGCCATCGTGGGTCCAGGCAGAGCCTGGTGTCAAAAAGATACTTCAAAAGGCCAAGCTTAGGTTCCCCATAGTGATGTCACCTGCAGGAGGAAATGGGGAGGTTGCACGATCTGTGACCTCCGGGATAATGGCCGGCAATTGTTTTTATCTTCACCTCTGCAGAAATCAGACTTCTTCCTCCTTGCCTGATGCTCTCTCATTAGCTTTACAAAGGCAGTTGAGTTTTGGGGAAGAGCCATTATCATCTAAACTATAAACTCAATGTCTCCCAAAGTCGGCCCAGACTATTCCCAAGAATAATTAAGGCAGCTTGAAGGCTAAAGTCAAGAGAAGGGGTGGTGAGATCAGATCTCCCCTGCTGCCGTAATTTTCTCACTTATATAATTTTTGCAAAGGTGGTTTCAATTTGATGGGTAAGATATTCCTTTAATTTGCATTTCCTTGGAGAAAGTGAACAGCGAGCAGTGCCTCTTCTGCAGCCATCTGTGTATCCTCACTGATGACACTTTATGTCCTGTGTCTTTTATTCATTCAGCCAGACAAGTCTTAACATTTAAAAAAATCAACTATATGAGGCTTTTGAGTGAGGATTTGTCATACAAGTTATTTTTCCCAGTCTTTGCCTTTTCAGTTTATGTGATGTTTGATATATCAATGATACTTACAACACATTCTACAGTCAAGGATTTTTCAACCTTTCCTTTATGAGTTACATTGGCTTGAGATCAACAATGGTTCTGAAAGTGTGGCCTCTGGGCCAACAGCATTAGCAGCATGTAGTGAAACCGCCTTTACAAAATTATGACTGAGATAGTGCAAGAGATCTGACTTCACTGACTCCATCTTGCTTCCAACCTCCAAGCTGAACTTGTTCATTCCTGGGCATAGGTTCAATTAACTTTGGGAGAAATTCTATAGTTTAAACAAAGACGGTAACAGCCCTTTCCCAAAGCAGACATCTTCTCGCCTGGGGACCCCTGCCTTTGTAGGACAAACATTAGTCACAAGATTAGGAACAATGGTTTCGGAGTCAGGCAGCTGGAGGCTACAAGATTCTGACTCTCCCTAAACTGCTCCTAAGATCAGCACTTGAGATATTTTGCAGACCCTGCACTTGATGGATCAGCTGACACCACCCACATCAGTAAACTGGCTCCTGTGATCTTGTGGCCCCCACCCAGGAACCGACTGAGCACAGGAAGGCAGCTCCGACTCCCTATGATTTCATCCCTGACCAACCAGCGCTCCTGGCTCACTGGCTTCCCCCCACCCACCAAGTTGTCCTTAAAAACTCTGTTCCCTGAATGCTTGGGGAGACTGATTTGAGTAGCAATAAAACTTTGGTTTCCCACACAGCTGGTTCTGTGTGACTTACTTTCTCTATTGCAGTTCCCCTGTCTTGATGAATTGGCAATGTCTAGGCATCGGGCAAGGGGAACCAACTTTCCCTTAATAGTTATTTTTTCTAAAATTTCTTAACTATTGTCTGTCTGGCTAATTTTTCAGCTGAATGTTAGAATCATTTGCTTATGCTCCAAAAAGAAATTCCGATAGAAGTTGGGATGCTATTTTGCAAACAGATCACCTTCTTAGAACATATAGGACCCCCATTCTCTCCCACTTTTATGCTGTTCAGCAAACTTACTCAATGTTTTCATGGAGAATGCGATGTATTCTCCTTAAACATTTTGAATTTTCTGTTGTGACTGTCAACTGGGCGTAATGTACTATGTTATTTTAAATATTAATCAATACATCCATATATTTTTTCTGGGATGAAAGAAAAATACTCATTTATGTACCTAAATTTAATGGAATCAGGGGGATTCACTCTGTAGATAAGAGGTTTGTTATTTTTTTTTTCTTTGAAACGATAAAATGTCTGTGTTCAATTTAAGTCTTGAGGCCGGGTCCCGTGGCTCACACCTGTAATCCCAGCACTTTGGGAGGCCAAGGTGGGCGGATCACTTGAGGTCAGGAGTTCAAGACCAGCCTGACAAACATGGCGAGACCCCTATCTCTACTAAAAATACAAAAATAGCCAGGCATGGTGGTGGGCACCTGCAACCCCAGCTACTCGGGAGGCTGAGGCACGAGAATCGCTTGAACCTGGGAGGCAAAGGTTGCATGAGCCGAGATCTCACCACTACAACTCTAGCCTGGGCAACACAGTGAAACTCCATCTCAAAAAAGAAGACCTGGTGACTTCAAGAAAGATAACACTTCTGTGCTACTCTGCCACTATCCCATCTGTGACATAATTACACATACATATTTGGTATTTGGTCTCTGTCCCTGGTACTTGGCACAGAGCTCCTGATCTCCTGAGTGACAGGGGTGCTGGGTGCATCTTTTATCGTCATATTTGCTTTCTGCCCCAGCTCCTGCCATAGAGCTCCAAATCTCTTGGAATTTCCTGGGTTACAGGAGCATCTTTTGTTCTAATGATGTGGGCTTGTTCTTGGTGGGCTTGTGGATGGAGACTGGTTGCCAGGGGGACCAATATGATTAGAAGATTGGAACCTTCAGTCCCACCCCTCACCTGCTAGGGTGTCTACATGATGAAGCTTCTGTAACAACCACTAACTATGGCATGTAGGGAGCTTCAGGACGGGTAAACACATCAACAAGCTGGGAGGTGGTGCAGCTCAACTCCCCAGGGACAGAAGCTTCTGTGCCCAGGATCTTCCCAGACCTCCCCCTCTGTCTCTTTTCATCTGACTGTTCATTTGTGTCCTTTAAAATATCCTAATCAGCTGGGCACAGTGCTCATGCCTGTAATCCCAGCACTTTGGGAGGCCATGGTGGGTGGATCACTTGAGGTCAGGAGTTCAAGACCAGCCTGACAAACATGGTGAGACCCCCATCTCTACTAAAAATACAAAAATTAGCCAGGTGTGGTGGCTTATGCCTGTAGTCCCAGCTACTCGTGAGGCTGAGGCACAAGAATCACTTGAACCCAGAAGGCAGAGGTTGCAGTGAGCTGAGATCGTGCTACTGCACTCAAGCCTGGGCAACAGAGTAAGACTGCAACCTCCGGCTCTCAGGTTCAAGTGACTTTCCTGCCGCAGCCTCTCAAGTAGCTGGGATTGCAGGTGCCCGCCACCAAACCCAGCTAATTTTGTATTTTCAGTAGATAGGGTTTCACCGTGTTGGCCAGGCTGGTCTCAAACTCCTGACCTCAGGTGAACCACCTGCCTCAGCCTCCGTAAGTGCTAGGATTATAGGCGTGAGCCACTGCACCCAGCCTCAAATAAATCTTTAAACATGGGAGGATCTCTCGAGCTCAGGAGTTCAAGACCAGCCTGGACAACATAGTGAAACGCTGTGTCTACAAAAAACATCAAAAAAATTTAACTGAGCTTGATGCGCCTGCAGTTACAGCTCCTCAGGAGGCTGAGGTGGGAGGACTGCTTGGGCCCAGGAGATGGAGGCTGCAGTGAGCCACGACGGCTACTTGCCCTCCAACCTCAGCAACAGAGTGAGACCCTGTCTCAAAAAAAAAAGGTGCCCGTACTAAAAATACCAAAAAAAATAACCAGGTGTGGTGGTGCGTGCCTGTAATTCCAGCTGCTCGGGAGGCTGAGGTAGGAGAATCACCTAACCTGGGAGGTGGAGGTTATAGTAAGCCGTGATTACAGCACTGCACTCCAGCCTGGGTGACAGTGAGACTCTGTCTCAAAATAAATACATAGAAATTAACTAAAAGAGCATAATTGGATTGGTTCTAGCACACAGGATAAAGGCTTGAGGGGATGGATGCCCCATTCTCCATGACGTGGTTATTACGCATTGGATGCTTGTCTCAAAACATCTTGTGTACCCCATAAATATATACACCTACTGCGTACCCACAAAATTAGAATAAAAATTTAAAAAAAAGAAAACTTGTGCTGCAAGTCTTTACAAAAGATTATTTTATTAATTCAGCTTTTGCATAAAAGACTGGTAAAAGAACTTGGTAACTTGAAAACAATTCTGAGTGTTTCTGACCTCTCCGACTTGAAAACACTTGAAGCTTAAAGAGCAGACCGTGGAAAGCGGCGGGGGCCACGGGAGTGAACGAGGATGGAGACCCGCCCGCCGTCGCGTCACGCCGTGAGGCCTGCACGGGGACCTCCTACACGAAAGGCCAACGATCCTGCTCAGCGCAAAGCGCGCCGGGGAAGGCAGGCTACGGGCCCCAGCGCGCAGCTCCTCCGACAGCAGACGGCCGTGCTGCGCCCTGTGGTCCGTGGTAATTCACACGGGAATGGGATGAGGTCTAGCACAGTTTTAGATCCAACGCAATTTCGTGAAGTGTCGGTGACAAGCCAAAACTCAATCGATGCGGTATTTAAAAATAGCCGAGTTGCGACAACCTAGATTCTTTCAGGAGGTGCTGTCTTAAGATCGAAGAAAGGGATCAAGCTTTTATCTTTGCAGGAGCAGATGTTAAGTTTAGCTCAGGGTACTGCAGGTCAATGCTAGGTAGCTACTGCATGAAAGGCCAAGGGCCAGGGAAGAGGAAGAGGCCCAGGCGTTTCTTCCTCGTCTGCTGCTCTCGGGACGAGCATTCTGGCAGGTCTTAAACGTTATAATTCAAAACTGTCAGTTAAATTCTAACAGCGACGGTGTGGTTCCCCCCAAAATCATTTTCCTTTTAGAAGTAAAATCGGGAAAGGGGTTGAGATCTGAAAAAAACATCCACGCTGTGTCCCAGGCCTCCGTGTCTCCGTGTTTATTGTCTTGTTGTCTCCTGTGCACGAAGGTATAGTTTACGTAACTCGTCCTCGGAAGAATCACAGTGGTGTTCAAGGACCTTTTGGGGCCATCCAAGTTTTTCTCCTTCAGTACCCTGAAATCAGATAATCTCAACATCCAGAAACAGCCTTTGATTTGTTCTTTCTCTGATGTCTTGTATCCTTGGGATCAAAGCCTCTTTCACTGGCACCAAATAATGCCCAGTGAGGAGTTCTGGCCATATAATCCTTTGCGCTGAATGCCTTTGATCCACCGCTGTCTTCGTATTCCTCGACGAGCTCCTGGAAGCGGTTATAATTGATCCAGGTCCACCATTCACTACCAACCTTAAACTGCAAAGAAAAAAAATGTGTCAAGTCAGAAGTAAAAACGTCTCTAGAAAAAAATATATAAATCTTTTTAAAAATCATGACCAAGTCTGATCTTTTCTCCCTATCACATCAAAAAAAAAAAAAAAAAAAAAAAACTTGTGACTTCCTGTCAAACGCAAGATGTGCTGCAATCACAGGAGGGCTTCCTTTCCCGTGGGCCTGATGTCGCGCTGGGCCCAGAAGACAAGTCAAGTTTGTCTCCAGCAGTCCCACTGACACAGGTTAAATGTTTCCATGTTACCACATGACCAATTCAAACGAATTCTAATTCCTGCCTTTGCCGCTTTTGATGGGTTACAGATTTTCATGGCTGTGTTAACAGCACCTCGTGGAATCCTTTTTACAACTCAACTTGGCTTATTAGTGAAGGTTTAATCAATAACTTCTAATTCAAAAATGCTAACTAAATGACTGGAACTAGCTTTTTTAGCCTAACGTGGATACAATATCTCATTAGTGGAAAGCCTGAAGAATTTCAATTCAGTAAGAGGGGATAATCCAATTTGTACTCTCTTAAGAAAATTGCTTCTCAAAAGTCACTGTGGAATAATGACCTGGAATGAAGAAGACAAAGGAAGTTGAAGAGGCTCGGAAGGAAGTACTAACTGAACTGTGAAGGCTTTTCATTCCCAGCATTTGTTTGACAAAGACACCGATACCTGACTCATAAAGAGACAAGTACTTGTCATGCCACTGTCTTAAAAAACCCTAATGGCCGGGTGCGGTGGCTCACGCCTGTAATCCCAGCACTTTGGGAGGCTGAGGCGGGTGGATCAACTCAGGTCAGGAGGTTCAAGAGCAGCCTGGCCAATGTGGAGAAACTCTGTCTCTACTAAAAATACAAAAATTAGCTGGGCATGTTGCAGGTGTCTGTAATTCCAGACACTCAAGAGGCTGAGGCAGGAGAATCACTTCAACCTGGGAGGTGGAGGACGCGGTGAGCCGAGATTGCACCACTGCACTCCAGCCTGGGCGACAAGAGTGAAATTTCATCTAAAAACAAACAAACAAACAAAAAAACCCTCCAACTAACTAAAGGAACTAAGGAACAATTTCCTGTTCTAGACACACACACACACACACATATACACACACACACACACACACACACACACACACACGGAAAATACATAGGTTCCTGGATTTAAACTATTAAAATATGCTATATTTAAATGACATCTGATTTTTTACACCTAATAGCTAAGAGTTTTCTAGGGGGAAAATGCTGAATATGTGGAAAAGCTTAATTATTCTGTTTGTGAATTAGGAGAAGTTTTCTTGTAATGAGACCATTCCTGGAAATGATGCCTTGGGGGCTCCATGAACTCTACAACCCAAGATGTAAAATTTATATCTTGGCCGTGGTGGCTCAGGCCTGTAATCCAAGCACTTTGGAGGCCAAGGCGGTCGGATCACCTGAGGTCGGGAGTTCAAGACCAGCCTGACCAACATGGTAAAACCCTGTCTTGAAAAATAAATAAACAAATAAGAAAAAAGGGAAAAAAAATTCTTACCATCATTTTCTCTCCCAGGCCAGACTGTCCCTGAAGTGCTGTCTACTGTTGTGGAAGCCATCATTGCTATTCCCAGGCTTGGAGCCTCAAAGCTGCAGAGTCAAAGGTAACCTCCTTTTCCCTGGCCCCTCACGCCCTGTCGATTCTCCCTAAGCAGTTCTTCAGTGGCTGACGTGGTCACACAGGCCCTTCCTCTGGGGCGTGGTCACCGTCTTCTAGATGACTGACCTGATTCCAGCTGTGGCTTCCCTCCGCTTCCCACGGCTGGCCTGAGACTGTGCCTACAGCAGAACTGATTCCCATGATCCTGAACGTGAAGTCTGAGCATCAAATCTGATCTCTTCGTGAGCTGCGGCCCTCTCAGGGGATGCCCACGCCGTTCCCTCTGTCTGACTCACATGTCCCTCGTCCTTTGCTCTGGGAAGTCTTCCTAAATCCCGTGAGTCTGGTCCCAGTGAGACATTCCCCCGTTGACAGTTTCTGTCAGTTGCGCTGCTGCTGGACCTCACTGTCCTGAACCCCCGCGGACACTACACTGGCCCCTGCAGTTCCCTCCCACACTCCACCCCACCGAGCCTGCTGGCTCTGTGAATACACGGAACGTAACAACGTACACCGCCATCCAGGACATGTGAGGGCCAGCCCTTCTTCCTCACCTCTGAACAAAGAATCAAAATTCCGCCCGTTCTACTGACATCTTGAGACATGATACAATTGTGCTGCTCCTGGCTCCATAGAACAGAAAGGACAGCTTCACTGTGCATGCCTGACAGAGGCACGACACACACTTGACTGAGTCTGGGGTGAATTCCTAACCAGTGCAAGAGTAGACACGGCATTGATGTAGCCAAATGAGGCCAAAAATGATGTCATTTCCCTCCATCCATCAACAGGGGCCAACTGGGCTAACTATGGACTTGGCCCAGCCACATACATTTAGAAAATAATTACAATACAACAAGGTGTGTACAGTGAGTGAGGTTACGTACGAGGCACTGGGGAGCGCAGGGACTCACACGCACCTGGCCCTACAGAGGAGACTTTTGGGGACTCCTAGTTTCACTTGCTGAAAGAAAGAGATGACCACACTGTCTTCTTCCCTATTTCTGTCTCTGAAGTCTGACCCCTCTGGTTCATAATCCTGACGCTGCTTCACCTTCAAACTCTTAACAATAATCATTTGCTATGGGTATTCTAAGAGAGAGCAAAGGATTCGTCTGAGCAATATAATAGACTTACTATTTTTTTTTTTTATCATACCTACAGTCAAAAATGTATGTTATATCTCAGTCTGGTACACGCAAACACACACACACAAATATACCCACACAGGCTGGAAATACAACTTTCACAAAACTGCAGGCAATGCATTTCATAGAACTGGTGGCTGCAACTCACAAAATGGATTTCCTAACTTCTAACACAGTTTGAAAACTTCTGCATTAGAGAACCTGGTTTCTTTTGACTCTAAAACTCTACTCTGGCTTAAAACAGAAAAAATTTAAGTTGCACAGGTAGGACAGTTATAAGCTAAAACCTGACCACTGACTCCTCTGATTCCCAATGTCTAAGAAAACTAGCTGGAAGAGCAGAACAAGTAGATGCAGCACAATGTGGGGCATTAGCTCAGGCTGCCACAGCAAAATGCCACATGTGGGCGGCCACAACAACAGCAAAGTCTTCTCTCAGAGTTCTGGAGGCTGGCATCCCGGCTCACTCAGTCTCTGGTGAGGGCTCTTTTCCGGTCTGGCAGGCGGCAGCCTTCTTGCTCTGCCCCACATGGCTTTTCCTGGTGCATGGCCATGGAAAGTGAGTGAGCAAGTGACCAGAGCCCTCTCATGTCTCTTCTTCTTCTTCCTATTTTTCTTAAGAGATAGGTTCTCTCTCTGTCACCCCAGCTGGAGTGGAGCCGTATGACTAGAGCTCACTGCGGCCTCAACCTTGTGGGCTCAAGCAATCCTCCCATCTCAGCCTCCTGAATAGCTGAGACTACAGGTACATGATACGATGCCCAGTGAATTTTTAAAAATTTTCTGTAGAGAAAGGGTCTCATTATGTTGCCCAGGGTGCTCTTGAACTCTTGGCCTCAAGTGATCCTCCAACCCTGACCTCCCAAAGTGCTTGGATCACAGGCGTGAGACACCGCACCCAGCGCTGACGTCTTTTCTTATAAAGACATGGATCCTATCAGATCGGGGCTAACCCTTATAACCTCATTTAACCCCAGTTGCTTCCTTTGAAACCCCATCTCCAAACACAGCCACAATGGGAGTGAGGATGGCAACCTGCGAGTCTGGGAGGGGAGGAGGACACAGACATTCAGTCCGTAACAGTAAGTTATTCTGAAATGAACAGAGCCACTAGAACTAAAAGACAGAATGGAACCACATGTGCCTCCTCTCAGGACAATTGGAGACTAATCATACTGACCAATCACAGCTCAGCAAAAGCCAAAGTGTTCCATGTAAAAGGCAGAAGCTCAAAGAGAAAAATTTGGTACGATTGACACACAAGCAGTGCTGAGAGACAGCTGCATAGAGGCATGAAACCCCAAATCACAAAATCTGAGTTTAAGTATCCTGAGACACGAGGTCACCCTGCTAAAAGAATTCCTCAAATCCAGCAGTAAGGGAAGAAAGGAAGCGATGCAGAATTACAAATAAACTCAAAAGGTCACAGATGATCTTAAAAGCACACAGTGCAAGAAGGTCCAGTTCTGACTTAATAAAGCCAGGCCACTAAGGGTCTGTGGCCTTGCTGGACAGATGAGACCACGCAGGCTCCCGCTCTCTGCAAGAATCACATCGCTGTGCAAAGCGCCTTGTCTCCATTATGTTCTCATCTTCCACACAGGAAGAATTTTACTAAACAGTAATAATCGCATAGGTTCTCGGTTCAAAAGGATTCTATTAAGGATAGTAGATTAAATGCATGCATGTACTGTTACTTCCTCTTGAAACCCCACTAAAATGACAGTAAGAACATTTTAAAACAACACATAACATAAAAATAAAGCTATTAGGAGAGGAGAAAACAGTATCGGACTTTCAGAAGCTGAAAACATGAAGGGTGAGCAAACTGGTTGAGCGGACCCAAGACAGTTGAATCCTAAGCCAGCAAACAGAGAAATCCAAGAGCCAACCCAATTTACAGTTTAGAATTGCTCAACGGCTCGGAAACCGGCTGCACCAGTCCCCCCACAGGAAGCCCAAATTGAGGAGGTACCAAACCCACTCCCCACCCAACAGCCACAGGCAGGCAGACATTCTGTGTAAGACATTACGAGCATCTCCAGGTCCCGGCGCCCTGCACATTCTGACAGCGGAGCACCTGCCTACTCCATGCCGACAGATGACCGGAGGGTTCTTCTCAGAAGGCAATTCAGAAAAGGATCTATGGTCTCGGGGACAGCAGGGACAGCTCAGGACAGGGCTGCCATACTGAAAC